TGTCGTTTTGCTTGCTCCACCCCCGGACCGTCTCGGTTGCCTAAATCCCCGCCCCCACCCCGCCCCTGCACCTCCAAGCTCTGCCCCGACCCAAGTGCCCTCCTGCCCCCTCACCCAGGTTCTCCTTCAGCAGCCACGTGAGCACCGAGTCCCGGTAAGGGATGAATTCGGACTTCTTTTTCTTGTTGCTTTGCTGGCAAAGTGGGGAGAGGGAGGCGAGGTGAGAGGCCCGGCAAGGACCCACCGCCCACTGGCAGAGAGCGGACCCCAGGAGCTCCCTGCTCCAGCCGCCTCCAGCTCCGGCCGCAATCCCGAGGGCAGAGCCGAGGAGCTGGCCACGAAACCAGGCAGACGTGCCTGTCCAGCCAGCCCAGCTCCACTCCCCTCCTGCTTGGCGGGTCAGAGCCGCGAGAGGAGCACAGAGCCCCGGCATCCTTCCGGCAGGGGCCGGGGGGAACAGGGAAGGCACCCCTCCCCACTGCAGACACTTCTGGGCCACCGGCTGCTGGCAGCTTCTAGAGGAGTTCCACAAGGGATCACAAGCCCCTTCCACAGAGACGCTTTTCCGTGGCATTCCTCAGGCCGGAGGAAAGTCTGCTGCCGGGGGGAGCTGGGCTTGCCCCCACCCCCTTTCACGAAGCTCTCCCGGAGGCCCAGCATGACAGCTCTGCCCCTGCAGGAAACGGGAGGAGCCCAGGAAGTCGGGAGGAGCCCGGAACCCTTTCGAGACCCGGAAGGGGGCTGCTGCTCACCATCTCTGCCAGTGCTGAGATGACCTTGCCCAGGGTGGTCAGGGACTTGTTAATATTGGCACCTTCCTGGGGGGAAAAGGGTTTTATTTGTTACAATTCACCTGTCTTAACACACAGCCAGACACCCCCTGCCACCCCCACCCCCCAGCAGGGCAGTTCTGAGCCCTGTAGCTGCCTGCTCACCTTTAACCGCATGCCTTTGGCTCCAGACGAATCGGCTCGCTCACTCCCAGCCAGGTCGACCAGGCTGATCTTGCTGACCTGGAAGACAGTGCGGGTGTGTGGGGGGAACGCAGCCTCCTTTGTTGTGTGGTACAATGTCTAACCCGGATCAGGACCCAAATCCCTACCCGGTCTGTCTCGGGACTGAAGCGTGGTGGAATGCCAGATCTGCCACGGGGAGTCAGTGGGGCCAGCTTCGTGATACTGAATCACAAAATGAAGAAGCTTTGCTACCCAAGAACTACAGAAATATAAAATCTTGGCCTAATTTTACTGCTGCCCCTTATTTAGTTAACATTAGCTATGAGCCCTACAGATGGGCCTTTTCCACAGCCCCGTTTTGAGGCACTCCCTTCCGCTGTACTGCAAGGAAAATTTACACGAGTCCCAGTGCATGAACGTAGAAGCCCATGCAGGGCTAATATGGTGGAATCAGTTACTCAGGTCCTCCTGTTCTGCAGATTCTATCAGGAGGAACAAGACCATCTTATACTACCCCTTCTGTCTAGATTTAGCCCTCTGCAGCCTCATCTTGACTTTAGGTCAGAAGTCCTTCGTAGATTCCTCTTAGAAGACGTTCAGAGCACAGTCACTTACGCTGTGGCAAAATTTTGTTGCTTAGCTACTAGGAAACGTCAGCTTATTTTAGCTGAAAAAATGGTATGATTCCCTTATTAACATTATTTCATGTCACTAATTTTATTAACTTCCTCTTGTTTATGCTTTTATCCTATTCCCATGTTATTACTGTTTTTACTAACTCCAATTCCATTAAATTTTTCTAATGCCATTAAATTTTCCAGGCAGATCTGATGCATTTAATATCTCCCTCCCCCCTTTCATATTGTTCTAACAAAACCACCTCTAAGGTGGCCAGATTTTGCCCCTCAGCAAGATCAACAAGGAAGCAGCTGCTCAAGTCTTCTTATTCATTGTCTCAGCCTGCCAGGCTGCCGGGGAATGTTATTGTTTGCAAATGTGCTGATAACTAGGAGTGTCAATCGCGACTGATCTATGATTGTAGCCAAAGCCCACCCCCCAGACACCACACCTGGCTAAGAGGGGACCTGGGAGGCCACAGTTCAGCCCCCTCCCCCCCCCACTCTGCCATAGGAAGCTCGATGGGTGACCTTGGCCTAGTCAATTTCTCTTAGCCTAACCTCCCTCACAAGGTTGTTGCTGTTGGGAGGATAAAATGGGGGGCAGGAGGACCAGGTATGCAGTCCTGAGTTCCTCAAAGAAAAGAAAGGACACACACAGACAAAGAGCTCAGGACAGCAAGCGTGTCCCCCCCTTCCATTTTGTCCTCACAACCTCCCTGGAAGGCTTTCCTTCTCTACCAAGCAGGAACTAGGAGAGACTGGGGGAAAGGTGCTGCGACATTAGAAACAGGAAACAAGAAGCTGCACAGAGTCAGCTGCTCTTGGGCTGGATTGCAGCCTTGGGCCTGATATGGCCCGCGGGCCGTATCTTTGACACCTCCTAGTGCATAAAAACTTCCCAAGCAGACTGAGAGGCCACCGCTGGCCTAAGGTCATTCTTGGGAGAGCCATTCTTGGGAGAGCCAGTTTGGTGTAGTGGTTAAGTGCGTGGACTCTGATCTGGGAGAACCGGGTTTGATTCCCCACTCCTCCACTTGCACATGCTGATGTGACCTTGGGTCAGTCACAAGCTCTGGCACAGCTGTCCTTGAAAAAGAGCAGTCTCTGTCAAGAGCTCTCTCAGCCCCACCCACCTCACAGGGTGTCTGTTATGGGGAGGGGGAAGGGAAAGGAGTTTGTCAGGCGCTCTGAGACTCCCTTGGGTAGTGAAGGGCAGGGTATAAATCCAATCTCTTCTTCTTCTTCTTCTCTTAAGGTCAGCGGCTCGCCAGTCCAAACCCGCCCTCCAGCCACTACGCCTGACTTCTTTTGGGTTGCCCCGGAGTGGAGTGCAAGAGCCCGCACAGCAGCAGCAGCACCAGGCACCTGCCAGGATGGTGTCCAACTGGGAGGCGTGTGCCCCTCCCTCCCTCCCGAAGACTGCCACAACCCCTTACCTTCTCTGTGTCGAGGTCCGTGAGCTCATCATGGCGGTGCTGCGTGAATACGATGGTGAACACGGCGTGGGAGCGGCTGCTTGTCTCATTCATGTTGGTGGCAGCCACCGTCCTGGGGGAAGGCGTGGGCACACGTTGGCATGAGAGAGAACCCTGGCCCTTGGCGTGAGAGAGACCCCTGGCCCCATCAAGCCACAGGTGGCTGCCGCATCACATACAAGGGACCATGCTGTGGGCCGGCCTCCTCCAAATGTGGGAACGAGGAAGGCTCCTCCCTGTACTCGTTGCCATTCTTGAGAGCCACCGCCACCACCACCAGCCCCTGTTCTCCCACCCAACGCCCTGGCGGGCACCAGGACTCCTGGGTCCCTCGGCCGGCAAAGGACCGTACCTGGTGAAGGGGACAGGGCCAGCACTTACCTCCACAGAATAGGAGAGATTGGGGCATTTGTTCTCATTCACTCGGGCGAAAAGATCTTTGCAGAGCTAGAGAGAGAGAGAGAGGGAGAGCAGGAGAGACTAGGTGGAGGGCCGGAGGCAGGATTGAGCATGCTCAGGAGAGCCGGCAGGAGGGGCAGAGCTCAAAGTGAGTAGGGAGGGAGAGAGAGAGAACGGACTGACCACCACCCCCCTCCATCCCCCCAGTCAACTTGGGCCACAGAGAGTGGAGCAGGCAGGGCTATTTTGGGGGCAGGAACGCACAGGAACGGAGTTCCGGCTGGCTCGTGAGTTGGCTACGCCCAGCAGGAACTCATTAGCATAATAGGCCACACCCCACAGCAGGAACTCATTAGGATTGGCTACATTAGGGGAGTGTGGCCTAACATGCAAAGGGTTCCTGCTACAAAATAAAAGCCCTGGGTTTTGACAACAAAGAAGGTAAACAAGATAAGAAACAAAAGGTGAGTGTGGTTGGATGACCACACTTCTGGTAATGTGGGGTGTGGCATAATAGGCTAATGAGCTGCTCTGTCAGGGGTGTGGCCTAATATGCTAATATATTTCTGCTGTTGGGTGTGGCCTGTTATGCTAATGAGTTCCTGCTGTGCTTTTTCTACAAAAAAAGCCCTGGGAGCAGGGACCTGATTTCAGTGGGGGGCAGAAAAAACAACCCGCCTGGCTCCTTCCAAAACTTATAGGCTGTGGATCTAGCGTGGGCTTTTGTGGGCCCTGGTCCTACGCGAGGACAAAGACAGATGAGTCTTCAAGGGCCTGCGAGACTCCCCTTTGTGTTTTCAGAGCCCACCTTGGAAAGCCACCTGTGAGACCGAGTTAGGGTGCTCTGACAGTGGGGGGCACCCCTCGGGCTCCCTTGCCAGCACCTGCCTGGCACGGGCCCAGCACGCGCCACTCCCTCCCACCCACCCCGGTACCTGAGGTATGATTCCCTGGTGGCCGGTCTCCGGCTTGCCCATCATGGTGTAAGACTTGCCAGCCCCCGTCTGCCCGTAGGCAAAGATGCAAACATTGTAGCCTTCAAAGGCATGAAGCAGCATTTCCTCTCCGATGTCTTTGTAGACTTGCCACTGGGAAGCAAAACTGGGGTCCTCCTCCTAGGAGTGAGAAGCCGTGACTGCCGGGGGAGCCCTGACACTGCTGATAACCACCCCCCACCCCCACCCCGCATCCCTCCTGCCCACCCCACCCCAGCCCAGCCCACTCACAGAGGTATGGGACCAGTAGGAATAATCGAAGGTGAAATTCTTGGGGGCATCTTTCGCCTGCTTGGGATTGGTGATGCCTGCAGAGAGGAGAGCAACGCGGATGAAGAGCAGGAGGCAGTCCGGACGTGCAGCCTGCCTTTGCGTAGCCATCTCAGGGGTGGCAAACCGTCTGGTGTGCAAGAAGAGGAGGGGGGCGTGCAGGGGAGAGATCCATGGGGGTGACCGTAACAGCAGCACGAAGGGACGACAGATCAGCCAAGTAAAGCCTCCGCTGCCAACGAGCTCCCAGAGGAGACCAGGGCCCCGCGGGACCTCTCCCAGCTCCGCAGGGCCTGTAGAACGGAGCTCTTTCGCCAGGCCTTTGGAGCCGCCACCACCGAATACTACTAATACCTCCACCGCCAACAAGTATTATCTGTGCTGGCGGAACCCTGGCCCGCCAGTCCCTTAAACATCGCCCAGGCCAACCACCCCAGACAGCCGCAGCAGGCCGAAGAGCTCACCGTAAAGCGAGGAATGTTGCTAGCACTTTACCATGTTCGTGTTTTAACATTGTGCCTTTTAATTTATGTGCTGTTATGTGATTGTATTTGGGAATTTTATTCTCTCTGTAGGCCGCCCTGGGCCAGGAGGGCGGGATAAAAATCAAATAAATAAATAACAAATATATAAACCTGGGTTAACCTACTGGTCAAATAGCTGGGCTGCAGCTATTTGCTCCCCCTTTCCTGTGCCAGTCTTTAGAAGGACCCACTTGGCCATTTCCCCTCACGGTCTGAGGAGTTTGGGGCCTCACCCGTGGAGTTTCCCCTCAGCAGCCAACCAGTGCTGGAGAGGGAGAGGGCTCCACAGTCAGTCAGAAGACAGCCGGGTGTGCCAAAGCGTAAGAGTGACGTCTGTGTGGTCAAGCGGCGGCACCCGACTTGTGGAGACCCCGTGGGGCCCCAGCCAGCGAGGGCTGCAAGGCCAGCGAGGAGCAGAGGTGGTCTGCCCTGCCCCGTCTCCCTTGGTGCTCAGCCTTGCTTCGCTCCCCAGCTCTGGCAAGGTCGGGCCAGCCTGGGGGGTCAGGGGCGCAAACGGCCTAGTCTGCCACTGGCCAGACGCCCCCTCTGCCCGGCAGCAGCTCAGCGGAGCAATTTCCTGCCACCCACAGCGTGATCCTTTCTCCCAGCTGCCCCTGGGGCCTCTCCCTGCAAGTCACCACAACCTCCCCCCCCGCCCCCCGGACTTTGTTCAGACGTTCAGACCTCTTTCCCCCCTCTGGCCGGGGGCCTCCATTTTATCTTCACAACAACCCTGTGAAGCAGATGTTCTGAGAGGGAGTGACTGGCCCACGCTTCCCTGGCAGAGGGGAGGGGCTGTGTCTCCCAGAGCCTTAAGGTGCCATGCTTAGGTGCACGGACTCTAATCTGGGAGGACCGGGTTCGATTCCCCACTCCTCCACTCGCAGCTGCTGGGTGACCTTGGGCAAGCCATAGTTCTGACAAGAGCTGTCCTTGAAAAAGGGCAGTTTCTGTCAGAGCTCTCTCAGCCCCGCCTACCTCACAGGGTGTCTGTTGTGGGGAGAGGAAGGGAAAAGGAGTTTGTGAGCCGCTCTGAGACTCCTCTGGGTAGTAAAGGACCATGGGGTGTAAATCCAATCTTGTCTTCTTCTAAGGGGAGGGGGGGCTCTCTCTAACCACTAGGCCACGCCCACCCATCGCAGACCTGCCCTCTGGGGAGGAAGAGGGGCAGCCCCCTGTTCGGGGCCAAGGCCAGGCCCTCCTCTGCTGGGGAGTGGAGGCTCCCGTCTGGATTTCCCGCACTCAGCAAGGGATCCTTTATTTATATAATTTATACCCCACCCCCTCTCCTCACCGGGGACTCGGGGAGGCTCACAACATTTAAAAATACAGCACAGGTACCCTACAAATACAAACAAGGGCTATAAATACAGAACAATTAAAACCAATTAAAACATCAACGTAACAACAAACCACCCGGGAGAATTAAAACAACCGGCCGGCTCCCCCGTTTGTAACACTAACTAACCAAAGGCCCCCTGCGGCCCCCCCCTCCCCAGCTCGGAGACTCTGTGATCCTGAAAGCCACCTGGAAGTCACACTAACCAAGGGCCCGGCAAGCCCTCGGTCACACACCTCTCCTCTCCTGGGAGCAGTGCATTCTGTCCCTGTCCTCACATGTCCCCCGGGCTTTTGCTTCACCCAGCCCCCCTTGGCAGCCTCTGCGGCCCTCTGATGCCAGCAGGATCTTGGCAGCCCCAACTCAGTTTGGGACCAGGATCCCCTAGATCTGTAGTTCGTGGCGTGACCAGCCAGGGAACTCTCTGCCCGGTGCGGGGAGCCACAAGGTGTGACACTTGCAGGCGCAGAGAGTGGGGAGAGAAGGGGGAGAGGGAGGCAAGAGGCTCAAAGCAGGGAACTGGGGTGGGCGATCCCTGGGGCTGGTCTGCTTCAAGGTGAGCCCGGGGGCATCCCCACACAGTGCTCCCTCTAAGCTGAGTGAGTGTGAGGTAGCGCACGGTTTTTTAGCCTCCGGCTCACACGTTTTTGCCTGGGCTCAGGAAGGACGGGGCTCCAGAGCAACCTAATTCATGCAGGAGCCGAATGGCTCGCTCACCACTTTAACGCCAGGAGCTCATACAGCAGAATTTTTGCTCGCAAGACTCCACAGCTTAGAGGGAGCGTTGGTCCCCACCCCACCTGGGCAACAGGCAGGTCAGTGCCTCTGCTTCCAAAGGCAGCGGTGCGGAGGTGCCGAGGCCCAAACCCGATTGCCAGCCACACCCTCTGACCCACCAGACCCAAGTCCAGTAGCCCCCTAGAGACCAACAAAGGTCTTCTGGGCATGAGAGTTCAAGAGCCAACGCTCCCAAGGGTCTCTCAGGGAGGGGGCTCTGCTTCTCAAAAGCCAACCCCCCCCCAGGGTGCTCCTGGGCTCAAATCCTGCTGTTCCGCTGCAGACCAAGACGGCTGCCCTCTGAACCCCTGCACTCTGCACATGCCTAGGGGCTTTTTAAACAAAGCGTTGACGTGGTTACCCTACCCTAGCCCTGCAAACCCTCCCATGACCGCTCAGGGGCCCGCTTTGCCAGGAGTGGGTGGGCGCCCTCCATGTGGGAACAGGCAGTTCACAATCCCTCTCGCCTTCAAGGGCAGGCAGCGCACGAGGGGTTAAGCTGTGGGTTCCCCCCACACCCCCAGCTTGCACAGAAGGGCTGCTTTTCATTCGCAGACACGCGCCCCATTCATGCTGGATTGGGCAGGCAGCCAAAAAATGGTGGAAGCAGACCGCAAAGCACCGGCCGGCAACCCACTGGCAGCGTTGACACAGGCTCTTCCTGGACGGAATCTGCAGAGTTAGACTGGAGGGCAGGCCCTGGAGCAGCCTGGCCCAAACGGCCTTCCCGTCTCTCCCCATGAGGGAGCCACCCCCACCCCCGGTCACACGGACAGGGCAGCCCAACCCGCCCAACCACTGGCTGAACACTCTTCGTCAGGGGTCCTTTCGTAGAAAAAGAGATGCAGGAGCTCATTACTCATTAGCATAACTTATTTGCATATGCCACACCTCCTGACATCACCGGAAGTGTGTCAGAAGGCAATACCCACTGCTCAGTCTCCAGTGGACTGTTTTGGACTGCTAGCTATTGGGGGGGGGGGACACATGCAGATCTGTCCTCGCAGAGGAGGAAGAGCTTGTACCTGAATAAAACTTGGTCTTAAAGGAGCCACTGGACTGTTTTGGACCAGGGGGCGGGGGTTCTGCAACTTACCTGGCTGCTTCTTGCTCTGACTGAGGGCTGCTGGGAGCAGGGGGTGGGGCTTGTTGCCTGTGCCCACCCCCTGGGCTCTTTACTGCCGGAGCTCTGCTCCTGTGCGCTCCTGCAGGAAATTACCCCTGCTCTTCGCAACTGTGAAGGCAAACCAAGGTTGCTTCTTCACTCAGCAAACAGGGCATGGACAGAGTCATGCCACGTCCTCTAGGGTGCAGCCTGCAACCTCCTTGCTCAAAGATCAGCTAGGGGTAACCACGCTGCGGTTAAGAACATAAGAGCATAAGAACATAAGAGATGACAATGTTGGATCAGGCCAAAGGCCCATCCAGTCCAACACTCTGTATCACACAGTGGCCAGAAATACCAGTGCCATCAGGAGGTCCACCAGTGGGGCCAGGACATTAGAAGCCCTCCCACTGTTGACCCCCCCCAAGCACCAAGATGACAGAGCATCACTTGCCCCAGAGTCCCTATCTATACCTTGTGGCTAATAGCCACTGATGGACCTCTGCTCCATATGCTTATCTAATTCCCTTTTGAAGCCGTCCATGCTTGTAGCCGCCACCACTTCCTGTGGCAGTGAATTCCAAGTGTTAATCCCTCTTTGGGTGAAGAAGTACTTCCTTTTATCCGTTCTAACCCGACTGCTCAGCAATTTCATGGAGTGCCCACGGGTTCTTGTATTGTGAGAAAGGGAGAAAAGTACCTCTTTCTCTACCTGCTCTTTCCCATGCATAATCTTATAAACCTCAATCATGTCACCCCTCAGTCGTCGTTTCTCCAAGCTAAAGAGCCCTAAGCGCCTTAACCTTTCCTCATAGGGAAAGTGTTCCAACCCTTTTATCATTCGAGTTGCCCTTTTCTGCACTTTTTCTAAAGCTATAATATCCTTTTTAAGGTGTGGTGACCAGAATTGCACACAGTATTCCAGATGAGGTCGCACCATTGATTCACAACGTCTGATTGGGCCAGGTCCAAATCAGTGTTCCCTCTCTGCTGAGTTAGTGTGAGCTAGCTCCCAGTTTTTTTAGCCTCCGGCTCACACCTTTTTGCCTTAACTCCGGAAGGATGGCTCCAGAGCAAATTAATTTATGCAGCAGCCAAATTGCTCGCTCACATCTTTGATGCCAGTAGGTCAGAAAGTGGAATTTTTGCTCACAAGACTCCACAGTTTAGAGGGAATATTGTCAGTATTCTCTCTAGGCTGAGTTGGTGTGGATTAGCTCACAGTGTTTTAGCCTCTGCCTCACACAATTTGGCTCAGGAAGGAGGGCTCCAGAGCAAACTTATTCATGCAGC